CACAAAAATCAATACTACGTATCACTTGGGCAGCTCCCCCCTCCAGTGCAGAGCGCAAATAATGGAATTTATTTATATTTGGAATATTATCCTTTGTATGGATTAACGACACAAAAAAATCTTTGAATTCCATCCAATGCCTGTATTCTCCACTAAATTTGGGCAAACTAATAGGTGGTAGTTTGATTTCGTATGAACTAGTATTTTGAGCAACCCTACTAACACTAATTTGTGACTCAGCTTCACTACCAGGCGAAACTGAACGCGACTCTTCCTTTCTAGCATAGTGCTCATCTATTAGTTTTTTGCATTCCGCACTTAGCTTATAATAGATCATCTCATATTCTTCTCTATACACTAAATGATCCCCAGTTAAATCTTCATCACACTCTAATTCAATTACATTTTGAACTTCATCAAACTCACTAAATAATTCTGTCAAGTTTTCAAGCCTGCTTTGAATTTCCAAAATGATTTCATTGGGTATGGACTGATCACTAAATTCAGACTTTATTGCTTCAAAACGTTTTTTAAACAATGTTTGCTTACACTTTATATTACCACGTTTTTTTATCAAATTTGCTAATTCAGAATTTTCCCATTGTTGGAGACTCATTTTTGTATCAAAAGTGCCACCTCAATTTCTCAAGGAACAGAAATAGGGAATAAAAAGGTTAGGACTCGCAGGATATATTCCGTTTTCTTGAAATTCCTTCCTCCTGGTTACGTCTGACAACGTCGCTTCCGTCTCACCACAGCCTCACGCTGTGCGTTGCCGCTACGCCGCGTCGTCGCTTCACCTCACCATGCGCCAGACAAGGATAGCTTCTAGTTTCAGGCGCCTTTCACGTGCTCTTGAGGTGCGCCGGCCGCTGCTTCTTCGAATTCTTTTTTTTTTCTTATCACTTGGATGAAATGTTGAAAGGGTTGACTTACAGCCTTTCTCGATTGATAGCTCCTAGCTCCTAGATATACTTATTCCACTGCTTCATAGGCCTGGTTTCAGGGTTTTCACAATGGATACACACTGCACCCGCCAACGTTGGAATAATTCGCTTTTCGATCGGTTTTCACTGTGTACTTGTTGGTATACCGATCTGCACTACAAATCCGGATATCGCAGGACCATATGTTTGGTTTTTGTTTGAGGTTTTGGGGTTTAATACACGATTTTGTTCACAAGCTTTGTATTTTTCCCAGAGCACGTACATAAACGTCGGCGGTTAGATATGCGAATATTGCGAATGCTGAATACATACTCAACTTACATTGTTGCCACGTCTAAAAACTACAAAGTAAAACAAGTCGGCCACAACATACCCCCGACCTTGAAAGCCATAGGTTTTCAAACTTAAATATATCAAAACATGACATAAGTAACTTAAGTATTTCAATATGACAGAGTGCTAACCTAAATACATAGACTCTATTTGCGTAGTTATGATAATAACTAGTTAATTTTGTGATGTTTTTTAAATGTAGTGGTAATAAATGGTTGTTCAATTTGAAATTTTTTACATTCAACCACTGTAGTTCTTCTAACATAGACTAAATCCTAGCATATTTGTTTTTATTTAAAATGATTCCCATTTCCCATAGCTTTATGTTGTAAAATTTGTAATTTTGAAAATATGTTTTCATTTGCTGTGAACAAAATAGTTGAACAATATAAAATATCTGGAAGAATGATGGTGTTTTACACTTTTTTTTGAATACATACTAAGATTATAGGAAACTCTATACAGGGTGACTTTGAAGTTGAGTCATTAATTTTCAGATAATGATTGTAGAAGGAAGATAAACCAAAATGTGTGTAAAAATAAAAAAAAAATAAAAAAATTTTTTTACCTTGTTTTATAAAGTATCCTCCCGACAAGTATTTCAGTGCGGACCTGTATTTGATCGTGAGGTCCCCTGTGAGGTCTGAAGTCACCTGATTCACGAGCCCGTTGTACTACATTAACAAAGGCACGAGGGGTTGGTTGCACTCGATTGGGAAACCGATCCGCATAAACATGTGCCATTTTTTATTTCGTTTGAGCCACGCAACAGACACTATTCACACGCGACTGACACTGATTGTATGTATAACTGAACTGAATAAAATAAACATCGTTCCAAATTCTTTCGCTTTTTTGTTTCCGATGCGATGAACCGATAAGGTGGATTATATCCGTTGTTGCCAAACACGAGTACATGATATTATTGAGACAGGGCGGTACTCAAAGTTCCAAAGGGCTATAACTTTGTTACTTTAATTTTACCAGAAAAATGGTAAAGGAAAAAAACATTTCTTTTGATCAGATCTACTCACTGTTAAAATAAATGACTCAACTTCGAAGTCACCCTGTAGAACTAATTTATCTTTTTTGATATTTTTGAAATAATGTATACATATTGCTCGTGAAACAGTAGTTTATTATCCACATACCTATATACCCAGATATTTAAATGATTGATTTTATTGATGGAAAGAAGAATGTGAGTTTATTATACAGGGTGTTCCATAATTATTGCGACAAAATGATAGGGGTTGTAGAGGGCATAAAAATATGCAATTTTGCCTTATAAACCCCTGTTCGTAAATATGCCGTTTGAGCACTACCGCTAATTTTACCTTAAGAGCTCATAGGAGAAACAAAAAATTCACCAGCTGCAAAATGTTCATCTAGCACATTTCATGGTCTCGCCGGTTTGTAAAAAAAGCCTGCTCTGTTCACATTTTTGTTATCGTAAATTCTCCACACCGATTCATTTAAATTATCTGAGTGGTGCGTCAAACTAGATAGTAAATAACAGTACCTTAGTGTTAAAATGCAGCGTTATTCGTATGCGGAACTTGCGGATATGCATTTAATTTACGGAGAAGCTGGTGGTAACGGAGCCTTGCGAATCTACGCCCAACGGTTTCCAGAACGTCCTCATCCACATCACGCCATTTTTGCAAGGATTCATGGACGTCTTTGTGTCAGTGGCAGCATCAGACACCTCGCGGGAGCAGGGCGGCCCTTCACGAGGCGCACAGTAGAATTTGAGGAAGCGATTCTGCATCATGTAGAGGCCAATCCGCGTACAAGCGTGCGTGCTATTGCACAGGATATGGGAGCGTCTCAAACTACTGTTTGGCGGGTTCTCCATGACCAGCAACTACACCCATACCACCTTTTAAAAGTCCAAGCCATGGGTCCAGAAGACTATCTGCCGCGTCGACGTTTTTGTCGTTGGTGGCTGCAACAGGAGTTGAGGCAACCAAACTTTGGTCGCTACGTTTTGTTCACTGACGGGTCCTGTTTTACAAAGGACGGTTATTTTAATAGCCGTAACAGTCACATTTGGGATGAAGAAAACCCTCATGCCATAGCCATCCATAGAGACCAACATCAGTTTTCAATTAAGATCTGGTGCGGTATTGCGGACGAGCATATCATCAGGCCATATTTGCTTCCACCACGTTTGGATGGGCATGATGCTTATGGTCGATTCTTACAGCATGTGCTACCGAAACTATTAGAAAATGTGCCACTGAACATAAGAGCCAACATGTGGTTTCAACACGATGGCGCTCCAGCCCACTTTTCTTTACAAGTGCGGCAGTATTTGGACGACAAATTTCCAAATAGGTGGATAGGCCGAGGTGGCCCTGTGCCTTGGTCTGCTCGGTCACCCGACCTGACCCCACTGAATTATTTTCTCTGGAGCCATCTGAAAGCTTTAGTGTACGAAACTCCTGTTCCCAACCAACAAGAGCTACTGGGAAGAGTGATGGCCGCGTCCGCACATGTTCAGGACATACCGGGGGTATGCCACAGAGTTCGCCGATCATTGAACAATCGTGCACAGCTGTGTATTGAGCAAGGTGGAGGACACTTTGAGTAATTACTGTAGGTAAGCTGTTTCAAGAAACTGATCTTTTTTTGTTGCTGCAGCCCAAACGGCATATTTTCGAACAGGGGTTTATAAGGCAAAATTGTTCATTTTGATGCCCTCTACAACCCCTATCATTTTGTCGCAATAATTATGAAACACCCTGTATATTAGGAAGTCTTATGAGAAATTCTATAGAATAAATAAAATGTATTCTATTAATGCTGTTGTTTTCTTATTTTTAAGCTGCCATAAATATGTAGTTTTATGTGAACTGTTTTATAGTTTTCTTCACAATTCCTTTTATCTTGCCAGCTGCTTGATCAATCTTTTCAGATACATGATACATTTTAATAACTACCTGTTTGGCTTGGGCGGACAGAAGTTATATACTGAATTCAACAACTTCCAGTACAACCATTTGCCACTGCCTCGCTCAGTAGGCGAGTATTGGAGGGTGTTGCCCCTTTTCCAAATAATTTCAAACCACCAGTCAACAGAGAGGATCCACTTGTCAAATATATTATATAAAATGCTGGTTAAATTCTTTTCTAATACAGTATTTCATAATAATTGTTTTCAGTAAATCTAGATTAACCATTCTAAAAATCTTCATTTCTGGCAATTCTTCCAATAACTAATTTTTTTTGGAAGCGGTATTAATAAATAACACATATCCCTATCATCAATATGTAGATTTTCCTGTATTTGATGATGAATGATTCTTATGTATTTTCCACGAAAAAAATGTCTAATGAAATCATTTTTGTCCTTTATCAGCACATGCAATCCTCAATTTAAAAAACAAACTTTGATTTCTATCCAATACTATTCACTCAAATCCATCAGCAAAGTTTAAGGATGTCAAAAAAGCAGTAAATCAATTAAGTCAAATATGACCTTACAGGTCATTTTTGGCTGCATACTCGTGTAGTTGACATAGATTGCATACACAGTATATGTACTTATAACATTCCCCAACATTTTTTGGGTTGGTTACAAGTTTCTAACATAACATTAATGGGATATTCTCATGCATAGAGAAGCATATTTTTAGCAGGAGCTCCCTCACACTTCCCAGATATGTTATGAATGTTCTTGAAATGTTAGATGCACATTATGGGAATGAAAAATGATTCAAAAAGTATTCATTTTATTTAAAAAAAAAATAAATCAAAAGTAAAAACCATACATCTTACATTGTTTGATTTAGAAAAATTTCGATTGCTGCCGGCGAAGCGGAACTCCAATGAGCCGCCTGAAATGCGGACCTACTAGAAATCAGCCAACAGATCCGTTTCATACGTAATTGACTACGTTTTTACAAAAAAATTATACAACTTGTCGACCTTCATGAATACGCGACCTCTGTGATAGTTGATAAATTCTCGCGCTCTCTTGAAAATTGTCAGTGATTTGAAAGAGTGTGTGTAACGAAATCACAAGGACTCTGCAAGTAGTAATTTTGCCACGTGGGAGAGACAATCCATAGGATGCCTTTTCCACCAAATAAACAATTTTAAGATCAAAATTCGAAAATCGACGCAGTTGGTATCTCTAAAGCCGGCTCACAACCCATAAAAATGGAACGGGCTTTGGCGTTACCCACCTATATTGGTATTTTCTTTCATTCATTTGCCTGTAGACGTTCCTGAAGGCATCAAAGCAGTAGTTTAATTAATAATGCATTTTAGATTTAAAAGTTAATGAGATTCTTTCAATGTAATGACTAAACATTTTTTAAGTTAGCTTCAAGAGCTGTCTAATTACACATATTGGAATAAAAACACCAGGTGTAAATACTTATAAACATGAGTATATATACTCATATATAAGTAATATACATATATTTTTATAATCTAAAATGTATGTAACTCTTTATAACTACAAATGGAGCTCTTGATTTTTTTGACCTCTCCTTGGCTCTGATTAACCATCTCTTAATGATGCTAATGCTTCCATACTCCAAGATGAAGGAATATGGTCGGCGTCTAAAAATATAGAGTTATTGGTAAACAATTGACACACATTTAGGGTTGCCAAGTTTGAATTTGAAAATTGCAGAATGTCGATTTCCAAGGGGTGGAGCAGAACATGAAGGACATTTTTTATTAGACTAATGCACAATTCATATACAATAGGAGTTATTTTTTGACAATGCATACAACAGAAGATATTAGATTTTTTATCAGACCCAACAGTTTCCGACCACTTTTTATTTTCCATAAATTTTTTTGCACCCTTAGTTTTAATGTGTAGCTCTGCCTTGATATGGTCGATCAAGATGAAAATTTCAGCTGTCCCATCAGAAGTTGCAACATGAAGGAAAAGTAGTTTTTTCATCTAGTAAGTAGCCGAACCGAATTAAAAGCGTTAAGAGCAATTTGTAATTTCAATATTTTTTTTTTATGAAAGTGAGTCTACTAAATGTCCTACGCCTAAATTCCTGCTTCAAATTCAGAACTCCCAATACAATCCAGGTTACCTGGTAACCCTACGTACAATATAGTTGTAGAAGCTGTAAAATGAAAATTGTTAATACCTACGTACCTAATGCACATCTGGCTAGGAGTACTTTTTTGGATTGCAGCTATTGTTTATGACCATCCCAAGAATAACTCATTGCTAATCCTCCTGAATTCTGACACCTAATAAGAGAAAACCAATTTCAAATATTAATTTTAAAAACTTTTTGTACACACTTATTTACTATATTTCATACAAGATAATAGCAATTTAAATTTAGAACCAGTACATTGTAATTACTTTTCAATCTAGCCATTCTTTTTCAAAACTTTCAAATTTTTCCTTGGCAGTGAATTGTTGATTTCCTTATATTGGTTTAAACTATTGTTAACTGTATAGAGAATTCATTGCCATATTAGGATTTTAGAAGTTATTCATCCTGTTATATCAATCTGATGTGATTTAATCTTTGTGTTTGATACTACAAAATCGTATTTCCATCTTCCTGAAATGTTTTTTTTTTTTTTTGGAGAAAATTCTGATGAAGCTATTAAACAATGACAAAAAGTTGATCTATTGAAAGTTTTTTTTCTCTGTGGCTGTTAATCTATGGTGGATTGTGATAGCAACCTCAATATTTCATCCCTTAGCAAGCTTTGTTGTTTTGCAGATTGTACAGTTGAATGGTACAAATTGGTACAAAGTTCCACAAGAAGAATGAATCATCTTTATGTCAGAGACATTATCAGACTGCCTAAGTGACTATATTTGAAATATGGCTGCCCAGATTCTTAAAGTAGCTAATAAAATCCTAGTATTCTATTAGCCTCAAATTTAGTGCTCTGATTACCTGATTTAGGTGGCATTAATTTGTACAGCAAATGTGATTGACTATATATTTCTTGTGAATGTGCTAGGGGTGTACAGTGTTTCTAATGACTGTATTAGCACTTCAACAGGTAAAACACCTCAACCCTGGTACTAATGGGGCTTGAGGTTTGATATCTAGTTCATACTTCATAACTTACAGACACAGACCATTTACATGTAATATTATAAGCAATCACAATAAATCTATATAGAAAGTATGAAGATCACTTTAAAAAATGAATCATTCATCTGAGGCAATTCATTTGAAATAACTTTAGACAATTCTTTCAATATCTTAAAAAATGTTTACCTGAAATGCAGATTCCAAAGTCTCTGTGGCACTAATATCATATTTTGGGTTCTTTCTGATCATTTTGCTTTGAGATATATTTCCATTTGCAGATTAGATATCTGGTACTTTTGGCTTTCTCCGCTCTTCTTTTGGCAATATTAAAATCTCCTGAAAAAAAAAAATAGTTCAGTTGCAGCAAATATCCAAACTCCAAATTTCCAAATTGTTACAATCCTGAATACTACTGAAGATATGATTGCTAACCATTGCCACCCAATGAACATACATTATATATTTCCCAGTATATTCATCAGGATCATCCTAATCATCTATTAACTTCAAAGATTTCATTTGTCTACCAACATTCTACTACATCTTCTTTTATCAAGGCAATAATTACTCAAATCACCATTTTCTTTGACCTTCATTTTCAACTCTACAACCAGAACATATACTATACTTAATGCTTCAAGTAAAAATGAAAATTACTCTTATTCATTCATCTCAAGGAAACCATCTTTAGACACTCTTTGTTTTACAAACAAATAATGCACATTCAGCACAAAATTAGCAGATAAATTAAAAGTGAAAGAGATTCTTTCAACATTGGCATGAAATTAGTTTATAAACTACTTTGTGATTATAGTTTACACTGGATATGTTTTTGTAATTATTTCAAGTAACATCTCAATAACATAGTGCTGAAACATGATTTTTCATAATGTAAATATCTACCTACGTCAAAAGCTATATATTAAAAATACTCATACACTTTTAATTCCAAGAAAAATAAGATGAATGTGATCAACAATTATAGTGTAGAATATATTTTGACAAAAATGAATTTACACACACACAACAGGTTCTGTTAGAAATGACCTAATTTAAGTGCAGGTATCACCCATAAGCCCAAAGCTTCCAAAATTACTCATTTTGATAATTTTGTGGTATACCAACATAAAGAAGTCTGCAAGTATGGAACACATAATGAACCGACAACTTTTGAAATTGTTTTGTTTTATACTGTGAGGAATTACATCCTGGTACAATAGGTTCACCATTGTATTAAAATACAGTAAATCGTCTTCTACAACTTGCGTAGGTGAATAACCCTGTACGACGATTGATACCAAAGATATTTGATTAATTAGTAGCATCACATACTATATGTTGAAAAACATTACATTTACCATTCAAAATAAATCCATAATGGTGTAATTCAGAAATCTCTTGCACTAAATCATACGAAGCCCCTTTGCCTTTCACTGCACGAACTCAATCACAAATCACAAAAAACAGAAGCATTATTACAAATTATATTATTAATTATTTATTATATAAAAATTATTATTACTTGAAGAAGAGATCACGGAACCATTGTAAGACAGGCTTAAAGATCCTGATATTAGTGACAGAAGACACGTTATGACAGCTGCCAGTCAGTTAAGTAAAAAATTTTAAATTTATTTCCTTTTAACATTTATCAAATCCAAGCGAATAACCAAAATTTCCGTATTAACTACCGCGGTTATAATATGGTTCAAGATGACACACGGGATGATGACGTCAGTTACTCGAATCGCTTGAACGCGTTGGTTTTAAGCATCTATTACACAGGGCGAGATTAGTAGTTACTCGTCAGCGAATTTACTCGCTGCTATAAAAGTCGTCAAATGTAATCGCAGCTGCTAGTAAACTCGCGGCTCGCTTTTTCCCAGCGAGTAAAGTTGAATACCGGCCTACTTTTCTCGCTACTCGCTCGCATTTTTTCTCTCTGACGAGTGAAAACGCTGTGTAATAAGCTAAAGCCCGACTAGTTGGATAAAATGGCCGATATAGTGCGTGTAGGAATTGTTTTTGTCACCCTTTTAATTCGGAAAAAACTTCAAGAACGGCTAAACCAGAAAAAAAGGAAAGCGAGACGGATGTGGGTCAGGAATTGGATTTCAAAACGGGACACACATGGGGCTTCTAATATTTTATTAAGACAATTAAAGGATGAAGATCCTGTGGCATATAGGAATGTTTTGAGAATGAGCAATGAACAGTTTAATGTACTATTACAAATGGTTGACGAAACAATCCGCAAAAAAGAGGATGGCGATTCCAACTGCTACAAAACTAGAAATAACCCTACGCTTTTTGGCAACTGGTGATTCGTTCAAATCACTAGAATATTTATTTCGAGCGCCTGAATGTACAATTTCATTGTTTGTACCCGAAGTACTTGCAGCAATTTGTCAGGTCCTAAAGCAATATATAAAGGTATGTTTAATTTAAGTATCAATTTATTTTTAACACAGTACTTATACTTATAAAACAAAATATTTTTATAATTATATGAAAAATAGAATCTATTTCATTGAGAAACTTCTTCTACTATTTCAAACTCTGCCCCCGAAAATGTATTTAATAGTGCTTGATGAATAACATCGTTACCATAAACGCTATCTTTGTCATTTTGCACATTTGCTTCATATGTTGCTGATGAGGCAGGGCTGGGATCACTGGGGGAGGATAACGGTGAAAAAGTTTGCACTTGAAGGAGCTCTCTGTAGTAATTATTTAGTTGATCATCATTTCCCAAACACATTAGCTTTACACGTGTAATAGAATTCTGAATTTCTTGCTGCAATAAAATAGCCTCACGTTGAGGTAATTGACGCAGCTCTGCAGCTACATACTTTCCAAATTCGTCGTACGGTTTTCCTTCTGATACATTTTCAGCTATTTTATTCAACTGACTGATTGCATCGCCAATTTCTGAATCTGCCTGTTTTCTCACCCTTTTTTTCGATTTAGGGGGTCCCATCCCCTCGGAGGGTTTTATATTTTGTTCCTTGGGCTGTGTATCGGGTTCTTCATCGTCACGCTGTTCAATTTGAGAATTTGAGATTTCCTCAGATATATTTTGTGTGCTGGGTAGAGTCTGAAAAAAATTAGAACAAATTTGTAAAGATTTTTTTAACTTTTTGCTTGATTTAAGAATTGAACAAATTTTTTAAATCATATTTTTTTATTGCAGATGCCTTCAACAAGCAATGAATGGAAACAAATTCAATACAATTTTTTCCTTCGTTGGAATTTCCCAAGATGTTGTGGAGCAATTGATGGCAAGCATGTTCTGATTAAAAAACCTCCCAAGTCTGGATCAATGTACTTTAATTACAAAAAAACATATATACGTAGTATCGTGTTATTCGCAATGGTGGACGCAGATTATTGCTTTACTTACATTGATATTGGAGCAAACGGCCGAGCAATATTTAGAGACAGTACTTTGAACATAGCAATGCAAAATAACACACTTAACATGCCTGAAAATTCGGTCATTGTTGGGGACGATGCCTTTCCATTGAGAACCAACTTAATGAAACCCTACAGTAAGTCACAGCTTAATAATACTGAAAGGATATTCAACTACCGACTCTCTCGCGCAAGAAGAGTATCGGAAAATGCATTTGGTATTCTTGTGTGGCGCTTCAGAATATTTTCAAGACCAATTCAATTAAAAGAAACTACAATTGACAATGTTATTTTGGCAGCATGTAGTCTCCACAACTGGTTGAAAAAAAGTAGCCCAAATACTTATTTTCCTGAAAATGCCGTGGATAGAGAGGATCTTAACACGGGCAATATTACTTTTGGGCAATGGAGAAACCACGTGAATAATCTGCCAACGGTTAGTCATTTGGGAAGCAACAACTACAAAAATTCTGCAGAGGAAGTAAGACGCAAATACGCTAAGTATTTTATGGAAGACAATCCTTTACCGTGGCAATGGAAAAAAGTGGGATTGGAATTAGCTTGAACAATTTTTATATTTTTAAGTGATTTATTATTTTTCAAATTAATTCTGCTCAAAGTGTTAAAGAAAATTTAACTTTATTTGTTATGTATAATTTGCTTAAGTATGAATAAAAAATATATAGCTCTAAAATCTCCTTACCAAGTTTGAATTACTATGCCTTGTTGGCAAAACTTCAGCGAAAAAATGGGCAGCTTCAAACCATGTTAGCTTTGGGGTATAAATATCCTCTGTTCCACAGCCACTTTTTTTGCTTCGTTCTATCTTGGCTAGTTCTTGACGAAACACATCTTTTAACTTCTTTATTTTGTTTTTTAGTTGTTTTTCGTCCATTCCTTTTAAAAGCCCTTTATCCTCTAATTGCTCCCACATTTTCTTGAATAAAACATCTTTGAGTTTGATATTAACGTAATCTTTGTGTTTTATATTCCATAAAACGGGAAATTGTTCATAGACTTTTAAGAACTGTATAATTTGATTACTGTTCCATTTAACAGCCATTTTAGATTCTATTATCGCACAAAAGATACAAACTAAACACTTTTCAAAGGTTCAATACGATGCGAGTAAAGCAATTTTACTAGCGCTGTGTAATTTGCGCTCGCTGAGCGTGTTCTACTCGCTCACTCGCTATTCGCCGGCGATCGGCTACTAATCTCGCCCTGTGTAATAGATGCTTTAACCGCGGTTTGTTTCAAGTTTTTTATTTTAGAAAAGCGCGTATATAATGTCTGATTATTTTTATTATCACTTAATAATCGGTGCTTTTTGTCTACAACGGGGTATGGAAAGTTGAAAAAAAGAAACCTTTCATAATATTAAAGGCTTTGTAGCTATGAGAACTTTCAATTCTCTAAACTTTTTCCGCATGGCAAAGAAAATATTTATTGATTTAGCAGAAATGATGAAAAAGCGATGAAAAAAAGATATTAACAAAACCGCATACAGGTGGACATCATCCAGTGAGTTTATATGGCCATATTTTAATATTGTTGTGGGATATGGCTATACAGGATACTTTGTTAAGCGTAGGAACTAGATTTAAAGTGTCCCCAACAACAGTAATGATTATAACTAATAAGGTGCTCTCGTATGCTAAAACTGAAGTCAGCCTGTATCAAGTTTCCCAAAAATGAAGCTGAAGTACAATAAAAATATCCAATACCCGGCAAAATTCTAACTTGTCACATGTCAAATAATAACCAGAAATATAAAACTACTCCTGAGTTGGGTAAATACCACAATTTTGCGGTGATAACTATGACTGATAACAGCTGATTCATGACGTCACGGATCTTATAACCAAAGTGATAACCACACTCGCTTGAACGGATCGGTAAATACCAATCCAAAATGGTAAATACCATTTTCATTTGGTTATCCGCCTGAATTTGATTGTCCTGTAAGAGGACAATGGCCTCAATCATGACACAATTATTACATGTAATTTAAAAAATAAGTATATTCACTTACCTTCAGAACCACATCAAATAAAAAATAGGAATGAGTCATCACAGATCAAACATTTGTATTTTCTATTGACATCGCAAAATAAGTTTTTATAAAACTTAAACGATTGGAAATAAAAAAATAATGTAATAACCTTTTCACTTTCATAAATATTCCTGCCTGTAGAGTATCTTCTCACCTGTTACTTCACCAACCCGCGATTTTCTGCTCTTATCTCTCACAGTTTTTGAAATTCAGCAAACTTGCATAATATAATTTCCAGGTTGAATAATAAAAAGTGGATGCGCAACTAATTTCAACTTTTGAATACATCTCAAGTAAGTCTATTTGAGACAAGAAACCAATGGAATTACCATTAACACATATTATTAGCACGCACATACTTACTATGTACCTATGCACTGCCTTTTCCTTCTAAATGTATTTAGTCTATAGTATAAAAGTTACAACTTAGATCTAGTATATAATGCCATCTCTGAAGCACTAGATACATCGCATCATAGCCAAACTCACAGATCATGACGTTTAGGCAACACGTACAACTCAAACGAGTTCCCTTCTAGTGTGAATCGCTAGTACTAAGTCAACGTCTTGGCGAAAGACTTGCATAATGTCAAAAAAATCGGTATAATGTCTCTTTTAAAGTTACGTGATACTCTTATGTCTTTTGTGGTCTTATGTGTTTTGTAGTACGAAGGTCTAATACCCTCTCCACACTCAAGCGCGGATCACGGCGAGAAATCGCAGTGCGAATCTCGAAATTTGTTGCTACACTTCCACACTCATAGATGTTCGCGCCTGCTTCACAGTATAATTCGCGCTCTTGACGAGTATGGATGGTGAAATTGCTACTGCTGGTGCAGGCAGCAGCGGTGGCCGCAGTAGTAGATTCTTCGGTCTCCTGATCAGTCGCCGTGCGCTGTGCTGCGGGTTCAAGTCCCGTCCCAGGAGAAATTTTTCTCTTGGCTATGGATGTTGTGATTGTCCGTAGGTGGTAGATGGTCTCTGACTATCGAACGCGGAGGTACCACCCGGCGGTTCTCGTAGGCGGAGCCAGAATGTGTGCATGTTGCATGCAAACGTGTTCCCTCGCCAGAGTCCGTGTGGCGTCCCCCCCTTCCCCATGTATCACCCTATAGCCCCACGGTACCCAATGGGTGCTTAGGCCTTAGGCCTTCGTGGTAGTTGGAGTATAAAAAAAAGGTCTACTTTGCGCTTTGCAATTTATAATTACGCATATATAAGTAAAACTAAAGCAATTGAAACCAAGTGGAAAAAACACAACCATTCCCGGCACTCGCTATGAGGCAACTGAACCACCAAGCGAATGTGGAGCCTAGTCACGTTGGTGCCTTGCGAACCCTTTGTTGCGGGACAACAAACGGGAATAACGTGCGAACCCGACGTGAAGCCGCGAAGAATGCGCTAATGGGATCCACAGTATCCACACTCATGGGTCGCGGGTAGTTCGCGGCTTCGCGCGCGGGAGTCTGGAGAGGGCATAAAGCGAAATATGACTTTTTAAAAGAAACTAGAATTGGTTGTTAAAAAAGAGGGAAAGGGCTTTTTGTTGCTAATAGCGTTATGGGAAATTGTTCCCAACACTTGTAATAATTGTAATAATCGTTATTACCTCTTGTTGTCCAGGACGTCGAGTTGCACGATACCATAACCCTGATACGATAGCGGAACCAGCGCCACCTTCAACTTAGTTAGTTGAAGGTGGCGCGTGGTGGCGCTGGCGGAACATAAGCCTGCTTTTATTTTAGTTTTGTCAAAAATCAAAAACTGTCATAGTTTGTGGTTATGTTTGTTACAGTGCTTATTTGTGATGTTTATTTTGAATCGTAACTTTATCTCTTTGATGAAAAAGAAAAACGAGAAAAATAAGCATAGATTTACGATTTGCTTAATAGCACTTCATAAATATGTTGGATTCAAAAAAGATCTCTTCCAAGGATTTTCAGAATAGTTGTCGTTTTTGCTTAGAGCAAAAGAATCCATTAACAGACATACCTGCCAAATCACTGGAAATTTTAGAGCATATTCTGGAGGTTAAGGCAAGTTCACAGAATATTAACATAGACCATTGACCATTAAAGCTGTAGCTGTAGATAATATATGAATTACTCTATAAAGTTGAATTAATACTGTGCTCATTGATTGTGTTGTATTTGTCTTTATTTAAAGTGTCCATATTCTCATTTTTTGATACAGTTCACAGATGATGAGCATTTGCCCACCAAAGCTTGTGAGGATTGTGCCAAAGAGATGGAATCTTGTAGCCAGTTTATTGAAAAATGTAAAAACAGTTACTCTGCACTTTTGGCAGCTGTAGAAGAGGGACATGATAAACTTAACTATCAAAGTAGCATTGATGATACAGAGGAACATAATTATGATTGTGAAGAGAAAGGTAATGAAGCCAAAGCTCAAGCTGCACATAGCTCAACTGAGAAATATAGAAACATTATTGTTGATGAAGATTTGTACAGATCAGATTATCAAAAGAAAAATGATAAAATCATAGTTGAAAGAGCTATGCATTACTCAATTGATGAAGTCGCAGAGATTGAATTCATACAATGCAAGGAAGTTTTCTCAACTGATAAACAGTGGCTCAGTACCTTAGCCAAGCACAAAGTGCCTCATAGCAATAAACCTATTATTAGAGGTAAATTATATTTCTCATTCATAAAGTTTTTGTGAAGATAAGTCAATAGACTAAAGACTACGTTGTGGTAGTTTTATCATCAAATATTCTGAACACTAGATCTTTTTCACATGGCATGGTAGATTGTGAATATTGATATTTATTTGAAATTTGAGTTGCAGAACAAACAAAAAGTTCACAGGAAAACAAGAAAAGCATAAAAAATTTCTACAAAAAAATAAAGGATGAGAATGGAAAATTAAAATTCCAATGTACTCTGTGCAACCGAGTATTGAACACACATTCAGCAGCATTAAGCCACATGAATATTCACACTGGTGAAAAACCATTCACATGTGAATTTTGTGGAAAGAAGTTTACATCAATAAGCAGTGTCAACATACATAAACGACAACATACAGGTAGGAGTCCCTAAATTTTGCATCAATCTTTTTTGACAGAAATGGTGGGAAGTTGTAGATTAACTGTGACCTTACCTGCAATAAACACCTAAAAACTGTTTTGTCTTTAAACAGTATACAATTTTGATCAGATGATTGGTTATGGGTAAATCTTGCTAGAAATTTAGAGTCAAACTCAGTGTAACATTTTCTTTTTGAACAGTCACATGAGTTGTCATTATAGAAGTTGAATGCTACCAAATGCACATACAAATATGACATCCAACTTTATAGAAGCAAATTGTCACACCAACAATTATGGATTATTCAACTATAACCTGAACATTTACTGGAATCTGACAGTTTTCTCAAGTAGGACTTACTTAACTTGAAAGATATTCTGTTACGTATGTTTGAAAAATGGGGATTAGAGATATTTATTTATCACATTTTTGTAGAATAAATAATACATACTTAAATGGATCATTATTTTTCAGGAGAAACACCCTATAAATGTAGAGTATGTAATAGAGGCTTTAGAAGCTCCTCTAATCGTAAAAAGCATGAAGATGTTCACCATTTTATTATGAAAGATGTGGACACTGATACAGAAAGCCATGACATTGGTAACAATGCAGATTCTGATATTGATAAAGTGGAATGTGATATTTGCAAGAAGAAAATAAATAAACATGGCTTTGGAGTCCACAGAAAGTCTCATCTGAATGAAAAGAAGCAATTTATTTGCACCTATTGTAATAAAGAATTCCAGAAAAATTCACACCTGGAACGACATTTGAGGATACATACAGGTATATCACTAAAATATTTTTTTTTTGATTTTGTTTCATCTAATGTTTGATGTGTCAAGTAGTGTAGCAGAATTGTTATACATTCTTATAAATTAACAATAGCTAATGTATTTTTCATGAGTATCCAAATCCATTACTTCTTGACGTCAACTGAAGTGTACAGTGGATCATAAAAGGGACATCTTTGTGATAGTCTGTAATGTTGGCAGTATGAATCTTAGGACCGTGTTTAGATCTTTTGTTCTCATATCTGGGTCATTCTCTTAAGTGACTTGGAAATGTCTATTTTTGCAGTGTTCTCAACATTTGGCCCATGCCTGTATTCATGAACACTGCAGTTGAGTACATTTTATGACTTCCTGCAATAGTTGTACGTTTTACTTAAATTTTTCTAATTTCTTGTTAGAATTACCCGAGTTCAGGTATCGCTGAGTCTTGCCATTTAAAATCAAATGACGTGAATGAAATGAATCTATAGCGCACAAAAACCACAACAGAATACGGATCTGTCTACCTGGCGTTGTCAGTGCTTTGTTTTTACGAATCTAGATTTACTTTACTATAATCATGTATTGAATGAAATATGTCTAACAGCGGCGAAGTCTCAGCCTGACATGAAGAGACAAGATTCATCACAGCAAGGTGGAAGCTGGTGGAAGCGAACACAAACAACGACGTTGCTCGCAAAATTTAACGTTTGTCAACAAAATAAACACGTTTTGTTCACTAAATCTCGGGATGTCCTCCGAGCGGAAACACCCAACCAGGCATTGACGGATCTCTCAGAATTAGTAATGTGTCACTTGTCGATATGGGATGTTTTGAAATACCATCAGATATTCGATCATGATGGATATTCGTGAAAAATATTGTAATGAGAACGAACTAATATAAGTTATATACATATATATACAGGGTGCGTCATCTTTTATGTCTGTATGTAAACATGAAATAACTCTGAAAACGAAAAACTGATTTCTATATATCGGGTATTTTTATTAAATATGGTCCTTTACAATTTATTGGGACTAGTTTATGAACACATCTATCAAGTGGCCACCTTTATTGGCCAAAACAAAATGTGCCCATTTTGCTGCGTTTTCCATTACTTTTTCTAGCATCTCTAGTGGTATAGCGGCGAATGTTTGCCTTGAGTTCTTCAGTGGTCTGGGGCTTGCTGGCGTACACTTGAATTTCCAAATAACCCCACAAGAAGATGTCCGGTCGGCTCAAATCTGGAGACCTGGGTGGCCAGTCAATGTCACCTCTTTTCGACATCAGACGTCCAGGGAATTTTTGTTGCAGAAACTGGTTTGTTTCATTTGCAGTGTGGCATGGCGCACCGTCTTGTTGAAACCAGTAACCACTCAAGACCTTTTTCACGCATTTGTGGGCAGACATAATGCGCCAACATCCACCGATATTGATTTCCATCGACTGTTTCATTTTCGTTGAAGAAAAGTGGTCCAGTGATGGTTTTGGCGCAAACGCCGGCCCAAACAGTCACTTTCGGGTCATGCAACGGCATTTCGTGGATCTCATGTGGATTTTCCTACCCCAAATGCGGCAGTTTTGCTTATTAGCGCTGCCAGAGAGTGTGAAATGGGCCTCGTCGGTTATCACAATTTGCTTCCAAAAATCAGGTTCAGCATCAACCATGCGAGCGACTGTTTGGGCGTATTCCAAGCGACGTGGATGGTCAGTTGGCAATATTTCTTGTGTTAACTGCACCTTAAAAGGAAACAAATGCAAATCATCTTTCAAAATGCGTTTGCCACGATATTTTCGACGATATGCACGTTGCGTTAACACAACTGAACGACGATTTTCAATGTACATTGTGACTATTTCGGCGGTTTGTTTCGGTGTAAAGCGATTCATGGCTAAAATTGTAGTAAATTGACGTTTCATAAACACGTATAACCACCAAATCACATGGTTGGTAAATATCAAACTCATTCGATGTTTGAATACCGACATAAAAGATGGCGCACCCGGTATATATATTTCTATATATATATATACAGGTATATATAAGCGGGGGTTCCACAGCCTTTGCCGCTTCCTGCATTTCGACCGCCATTTTTATCTGTTTCTCCAGTCTTCCTCCTCTAAAGCCCTATCTGTCATGGTTTGCCTGATGCCGTCTTGCCATGAAATTGTCGGCCTTCCTCTCTTCCTCATATGTTGTGGTGTGTAACTCGATGCTACCTTTGGCCACCGTCCTTCGCTCATTCTCATCACATGGCCATACCACAATAGCTGTTTCGTTTCTATCCTGTCTACACTGGAGTATACTCTATTTGTCCTACGCCGTATTTCTTCATCTCTAATATGTTCCATTCTGGATACCCGACATGCTCTTCTCAAAAAATCCATTTCTGCTGCTTCAATCTTTCTTCTGACGTGTTGTGAAATCTTCCAGCATTCCGACCCGTAAAGTTAAAATAGGCTCTACCAGTGTCTGCTAGATTGTAATTTTTGTTTTTAATCTAATATCCTTGGACCATAGTACGGAATTCAAAATGCGTATCGATTTCTTTTCCTGCAGAATTATATTCTCTATTATTCTCTATATCTAGATCAACAAATAATAAATGTGTAGATTGATTTCTTGCTTTCCTCTTTTTGATAACTTGTTGGAGTACAAAAGTGTTGTCCATGCACGATCTTCCTGCGCGAAATCCATTTTGTTCTTATATATCTTGGTATTCTAGCTCTATCCTGTTCTTCAGTAATCAACCGTACAACCTCCCCATTGAACTGGTGACCATTATACCTCTATAATTGAGCGCAATTTCTTATCACCCTTTTTGTAGATTGAGCTGATGTATCCTATGTTTCAGTCATCCGGAATATCTTCTCCTTTCAGAGATTTGTTAAATAATTGTATCATCAGTTCGTGCAGTATATCAGGTCCATATTTAATCAGCTCAACGGGGATGTTTCCGGGTCCAGGTGCTTTACAGTTTTTTGATTCTTTCAGTGCTATTCTCATTTCATTTATAGTTCTCTACCTGGGTAACGTTTATTTGCTGGCCTATTCTTTCTTCCTGGTATTCGAGCCTACTTTCTGTCAGCTATTCCTTGTAATGATTTTTCCAGTCTTTCATGCCTGTCACCTTTATTTCTGACTTCTCCTTCCCTTCTGTGCGAATAGACTTTATAGTCTTCCAAGCTTCTTTTACTCTTGTCGCTCCAGTGTACCTGTCTATTTCCTCACATTTACTTTCCCACCTTTCATTTTTACCTCTACTCATTACTTTTTTAACTTCTCTATTCAACTGAGCGTATATCTTATGATCGTCTGCATCTTTTGTCGTCAACCACTTCTTGTATGCATCTTTCTTCCTGTATACCAGAGAACATAAATTTTCTGACCACCATTCCGGGTTCTCTTTCCTACAGTTTTCTTGATACCCTAACGCTTCGTGAGCAGCTTCATGAACACATTTCTTTATTTTTTGATACATATCTTCAGCGGATACACTTTCTGTTTGTAATGAAGCTTTGCAGCCAATCTCAATTCATACAAAAACTTAGTCGAATTTTGTTTTAAGCTGTCCAGGTAATATCTACAGTCACTTAACCTGTTCCTTGCTTCTCTGTCATCCTGTTGTGTTCTGTTTACTCTTCTCCAATGGACTATTATCTGTGCTATTACTAAGTGATGATCGGATCCACATTCCGATCCACGGTATATCCTTACGTCTGTAGTCTTAAGGCGAGTCGTTTGGCTCTGGATCACATAAGGATAGAACGTAAATTCCTAGTCGGTTGTATCCATGAGAATTTGTGAATGTTGTCATTAACAATATCCAGAACTTTCTGTCGGGATTTATTCCCTTAGCCGATAGATACCGGTTTTTAGGCGCCACTAGCTCGCTTTTCACCCTCTCGTCTGTTACATAACGTGCACCCATAGCAAGCCGTATATCCAGTGGTTACGCGTCTTCGAGGACGTGAGAGTAGGATTCGCTGGCAGAGCTGAGATCTGTGCCTAGAACACCTGACTCATTCGTCAGGAAACAGTGGGCATTTTTTTGAGTTGTATTGCAATCTGGGCATAGACAATCCATATCGGCTCCAAGACCCCCTTTACCAAGCATTTAACCACCAAGATATGAACCCTAAATGCGCGGACTAAATAATGAATTTTATGCAGCCATAACTAAATCTATTCACGCTACAACGCAGTCAATACTCGACCGCGGCGATCGCGTTGACGTAATTGTCATTCATATATTTTGCACTACAAGGCTTTAAGGGGATATGGTATAGATACGGCAGACGCCGCTAATTGGTATGAAGTGCAAGTTCAGTCTGTTCATCAATAACAGAAATTATCCACGTTGGGATGGAGAAATACGTCCCTGATACAGTGAAAGTGCCTAAACCATGCAGGGGCCAACGGCTGGTTCAACAAATAGTGCGGCACTGCTCGTCGGCCGAAGATCAAGGCACACAGAACCTTTGAGAGGACAAGACGACATCCAGTTCAGAAACAAATATAACGAAGTGGTCCGCACTGCCAAAGACCAGCACGATGCAAAAATTGGGCATAGGGTAATGCCGCAGGTCGATGGCAGTCGGTCGATCTGGCCGCTGGCCAAGCAGATTCAAAGGAACTTCTCACAGAGTAGCTTTTCAGCTCTTACTTGTCAGGTTGGAACGATTGTAATCGACTCAAAGGCTAAGGCGGAAGTGCTTGCCAAGATCTTTGCTGCCGACTCCGCCATGGACGTCCTCCCCCAAAACGCGAGTGCCGTCGATTCAAAGGGTCGCTACAGTATGCGGGAAGTAACATTCTGGCATAAGACCGTAAGGCGGGTGCTCGACATCAACAGACGTGTTTCCTGCCATTGTATTGAAGAGATGTGCAGCGGAGCTTGCTCCAGTTCTTTCGCGTCTCTTCCAGATCTTACGAATCCGGCACTTTCCCACAAAACTGGATAATTTTTGGTCACGTCCAACCCACCAGCGATCCACAACTTCCGTCC